TTATATAGGTATTTTGTTTTTAATAAGATAGAATATTTAATTTTCATTGTAAATGCTTTAAAAGACAAATTTTTAATCGACTATCAAATTCGATTAATGGACAAGAGAAATAACGTTAATTCCGAATTCACCTTTACATTTTACGTGTAAAAGGGAGAAATTTAAATTTTTTATCCAATCACGGAAAGCGTATCGCATGGAACGGCTTTAATATATTTAACAGCAGCTTTATCGATTTAATTTTCAATTGATTCACTAAGCCGCATGATTTACTTCGAAAGCGTTTTAGAGGATTAAGAAAAAAAGACGCGAAGGAGAGAAAAAAAGTCGCCATCCATTTGTATCCAATTTAAAATCAAATTAGAAGTAAATACACTTTCTATTTTATCCAATCACGTGCGGGCAACCACAATGTAAGCGCAGACAGTAGGACAACAGTCTCACCGAGCCTTCTTGGCGAGAAGAAATGCATACGTTTATGAGTCTCGTGTGTTCTCTGGGCTTCTCGGCGTGAGTCTGTCTGGCTTATGACGTAACTAACAAATTTTTAACACAAAATAATCTGTGGTGTTAAAGGCAATAATTTAGGTAACTTGTTGCATTACTATCCTCCGTTTTAATAGTTTTATTCTTATTTCATTCAGTGTCATGAAAGGACACTGAACTATTCATAAAATGTATTTAATCGTTAATCTATCAATGTCCCCACTACGTGCACAGGGCACAGGCCTTTCCTTATAAGGATGGAACCGAAACTAAGAAGAATAATGCATGGCCTACCACGCGGACCCTATGTGGATTAATGGGTATTAACTATGTGGATTAAGATAATAATTATTTGGTTACCCATCCTATGACTGGCCTTCACGAAAGTTGCTTAACTTCTGCATCACAGAACGAAAGCGCCAACCATTGGGGCCAATTAATTAAGCTTTTATAATAGATGATTAAATAAACCATAAAGTGAGTTGATTCTCTAATTCCCTACCCTAGTAAAGTTTTAATCTCTCATAACTTAATTCGAACTGATTGCAGAAAGACCCTTTGTTACCTTAGGAACTGTGGTGTATATGTTGAATGTACCTACGAGCTAAAACGATATTCCCTACCAAAATTGGTTATGTGAGACTGGGAGGTGGTTATGATCGTCCTTGGTTATAGGCAACAGATAAAGGAGACTAAAAGGGAAATTGTCTCCCTCTGAGTTGGATTTTTATTGGTGCATGTATCGTGGAGCTATCTCATGATTACGTGAGGTCACTTGACCGTCTTGCCATGGATTGTGTTGGTAATGTTAGCGCAATTAAGTAGATGTCGTTTTATTAAATTTTAGTTTTTTTTTTGCAGTAACCTACCGTATCTTACTCTACTATGTTTACGTTGAACTCTGTGAATTTTCCCCATTACCAAGACGAGTGGAAGATTTACCCAGAACCGAATTCGTCCCCCGCCTGGAATGGCCTTAATTTAACGGACGAATTTGTTTAATTCCAATTCTTATGCTGTGACAAATGTAGTGATTTTTATGCTGGCTCCGTTTCAAGTGCCTCCTAGTGATATTTCGGTAAACCTGTAATCTGGGGCAAGGACTATGGGATAGCTGGGACGTGTTCGTTTTTTAAATGATAGGTTATAAATTATATATAACTATTTTTGCAACTGCCAGAATAGAATAAATATAAATCATGTCATTACTAAAATAATATGTATGATGGCAATAATAATTACAACTTTCAAAGTCTGTAGGTCATAGGTTGTACATATAATTAGTCGTTAAAGAACAAAGCGAAGGCTATTAATTCCGTGCATTGCGAACCTTAAAATAATCATCAACTTTATAATAATAGCCTTTACTCATCAGTATGTTCTTTGCATGAATTTTAAATTTATTTATGGGTTGGTCAATTACATTTTGTGGAACTTTATTGAACATGAATTATTGAATGCATTCACCCAGAAATGATCCTCTGGTTTTCTGACGTCTGAAGCTTGGAACGGCAAGTTTATTTTTATTTCTTGTGTTAAGATTATTAACACTACTTTTTTTTTATGAAGGAATGGTAATGTTTTCTACCGTACATAATACTTTCACAGATGTATTGAGAGGCAACAGTCAAAATATATATATTTTTTAATATTTCTCTGAGAGACTCTCCAGACCGTAAATTATATTGGCTGGTATGTACTCGTATGTATGTAAAAATGTTCATCTGTTCCCTTATAACTTCGAAACTACTCATCGTAACTGGACAAACGAGATATCATTAAAAGCGTCTTAGTTGTCCGCGTGCTGTAGGCTATGTGACGATACATTACGATGGAAATTAAAAAAATATGTAACCTGAAAACAAATTAAATAAACAAGAAATAAGTTCAAAAAAGTTTGAAACAAGAAATTTATTTAATGTTAGCTATATTATAATAGCGGTGACCAGAGGACAGCGTGTTAGTATGCCACTGATCGTAACAAAACAAACTGTTGTAGCATACGACTGCGCTGTGTGTTTCTTGTCTAGATACATAGTTGATATTATCAGACGTGAAAAATAAACAATAATAACACACATATATACACTTATAATATATATATATATATAATATTTATATAATCTCTAAAATCGAGAGTAGAATTAGCCCTTGTAATGTGAGGTCACCGTTGGGCGTATACTTTTCATACAATGTTTTGAAATGTTCAAATTTAATTTACTAATGTATGTACACATTTTTGAGGTGCTAATGTGTTCACGGGAAAAATATATAACATAACGAACAACAATAACGTAGCTGGGTTAAATTCTCGCCAAATATAATGGTACATCAGGTATACATACAAAGTAACTCGGTGGCGTAGTCGATAAGCACCGCGACCCGCGATCATTGTCCATATCCGATTCATAAGGAAGGCCTGAGCCCCTGCAGTGGGGACATAAAGAGGCTGATGATGATGATGATTATGTATACATATACATCTCAAGGCCATGATAGTAGGTATATATTCAATAGATAACTGTTTAAACTAGTTGTGTCGCTAATGACTGATTGTGGTGTCAAATGTTTGATGACACGCTACAAGTGATTCGTTTTCTTTGAATCTCTATTATAAAAGAATAGCATACAGGCACATCCGCCTAATAGTTTCCCGCGGCCGGTTGTTAGCTCGTTTTCGAAAAGGTTCGATCATACGAGCGTATGAACGATCGGTGCACTCACACCTCCCTCCTCTAGTTCGCCAAGAGTTCTTATAGTGAAAACGCGCGCGTTGTCGGTTCATTGTAATCTCTATCTTAATAGATCTGTGTGAAAATTATGTGTACTTTTATTAATGAATTAGTCATTTACCAACCAACGATTAGGTTTATAAAACTACTGAGAGTCATTTGTCATAAAAGTGTTGTATAGAACATAATAAATTTGGAGTCAAATTAGGTTAAAATGATAAGATCCATCGTAACTCGTTCCTAAATCGCGGCACAGAAGCGCGGAGCTTGTTTTCAATTTTTCGCCAAACACATTAGCCGTTACAAAACAAGTTGATTTATTTTCACCCTTTCTGATTCAGCAAAAAAAAAGATTGCATGCCAGAAAATAAGATTACCAAGGCTGACATGAAAATTTGTTGTTTCAATATTAGGGAAAAAGTGATGTATGACAGAAATAATTGATTTGAAGAAATGCTTACGTAAAGTTTTCCACGTTCCATGTCCTCAATATTAGATTCAATTAGATACATAATAACGAGTCTCTACTCCCGCGTGTGATCTTAAAATGATAGAACTTTCGTACTTACTCTTATTATAAAATACCATTAACATTATTTTCTTTACCTAACGCAACTACTTACACAACTCCAAATTGTTTTTATGATAATCAAATTTAGGTGAAGATTTAAATTAAAATTATAGATCATTGATAATCATGTTAAGCAATCATTTCCATTGGACCTACTCCTTCCTTGAAATTATATCACTAACTTGGTTGAGCGGTGTGATAGTTGGGTCATGTTTACGGTTACATAGGATACTACATAGGCACGCACTTGTAAATTTTTTGTACTGTCACCTTGATCAAAAAACCTGCGAGAAGGAAACGCATGGCGCACGATATTGAACACGTAAAACATGAGTGACTATTATTATACCAAAAGTTACCAGTGCGGATGTGTATTTTTCTGTAGAATCAAAGTCACCTGACCTAAATTAATACGTTAAAGTAAAAGATGGGTACCTTATTGTAAAAGGCAACAATGTCATTCTTCAAAAGTGCCACGTTATGATAGCTTTCGCTACAATAGCAGTGCAATATCCGTCTGGCTACGAATGTGTGGAATTGTGGATGCGTTCGACAAATTTGTACAGTACGCTCATTTTGCTAAACGCCATGGCTATATCGATGCAAATAACCTGAAACGATGTTCATTATCGTCAATACCGGGAATAAATTTTCTGAGAATGACTCGGGACATTTAAACTGTTGAACTTTGGCGCAGTTTGATTACGTTCGCTTGAAGTGACCATATAACATTGCATAGGTTATATAAAAGAAGTAAATCTCAAGAGATCTATTAAGCTTAAACCTAAAAATGAGATTGTTATACCGCTACTTATTTAATTTCTACGTATTTTTATCTGTTTCTAATAACACGGAAAAATTTAATAAAGCCTTTAAAAATATGTCATGGGAATGTAGCAGAAGTTCAATATTTACTTAAAAGGAATAAAATATAATTTGACTAGAGCAAATAATAATAAAATTTTATTATTTGCTCTAGTCAAATTAATCGTGAACATTGGTTAATTAACTAGAAGTTTATAATTTATACTCAATTAACCTATATGAAAACATACCACAATAAGAGTAATGATAAATAAAAGATAACATCGCGAAATCAATGACACTTAAGCCTTGGTGTGCAGCGACGAGACGCGTCGTTTAAGTTATTATTATTTATTCACATCAGAAGTTTATACTAATTTTAATAACGCTAATTCTTTACGACAGTCATGACTTGGGCTTCAATTTTTATTATTTTAACAGTTATCATAGTCTTTTTATCGTATTGTGTATTGAAGATAAATAAACAGTATTGGTGGAAATTGAATATTGTCGGGCCAAATCCACATTTTCTGTTTGGTAACTACAAAGATGTTATTTTGAGGCGTATCACATCATTCGAACTGCAAGAAGATCTTTATAATTCTTATCCAAAAGAGAAAGTTGTCGGTTTATACCGCTTTAATACACCCATCCTGCTTCTGAGGGACTTGGATATAATCCAGCATGTGTTCATAAGTAATTTTGATAGTTTTGTCAACCGCGGTATGGAGTTTGGTGACAAATTCGCCACCAATTTAGCAAGCAGCAATGATGAAACGTGGAGGATTCTTCGCGCACAATTTTCACCATTATTCACTTCCGGCAAATTGAAAAACATGCTGTATCTGGTGGAAAGATGCGGAAACAAAATGCTTGAACAACTTGATACTGAAATATCAATGAATTGCGATATTCAAAAAATAACTAATAGTTTCACTATGCAAGCTATCAGCTCCTGTGCATTCGGCATAGACATGAATGAACCTGACAAACGTTTAACGAGAATCTGCAAATTGATTTTCAGAAACTACTATGCTTTAGAACTGTTTTATATATGCCCTAATTTAATAAAAAAACTGTGCTTAGACACTATGCCCAGTGAAGTCACTAACTATTTTTGTAACTTGGTAAGTTTTGTCAAGGAGCAGCGCAATGGCAAACCATTCAATAGGAAAGATTTTATGGATTTACTTCTGGAGATGAAAAATTTAAGCGAGCTTAAAAGTGGACAAAAACATAAGGATAAATATGGTAAACTGAAAGTTTTACGGATTACAGATGATTTGATTGCAGCGCAAGCGATGATATTCTTTGCCGCAGGATTTGAAAGTACTGCAAATACTCTCTCTTATCTACTTTATGAAATTGCAAAGCATCAAGATATTCAAGAAAAATTGTTGAAAGAGATAAACCAGACTCTTGATAATAACAAGGGGCAGCTGAGCTTCGATACCTTGAAGCAGCTGTCATATATGAACCAAGTGTATCATGAAACTCTTCGGTTGTATCCTGTTATTGATCTTCAACGAAAAGTTTCTACTTCGTTTTGCCAAATTCCAGGTGTGGATATCACTTTAAAGAGAGATGATTATGTATCGGTACCCGTACGGGGTATACATTATGATGAAAAATATTATCCCGATCCTCACAGATTCGACCCTGACAGATTTTTACCAGAAAATATAAAATCTAGGCATCCTTGCGCTTACATGCCTTTTGGTCTTGGTCCGAGACATTGCATTGGTAAGGAGCATTTGTAAGTTATTCTTATTGTTTTTAAATTATTTTAGTCCTTATAAATTTTTATCAAAAAACAATATTAGAGTGATTTCAGTGGCATTGTAATAAGTCTTAGTCATTAAACATTACTAAAAACCGCAGAAAAGGCGAAAATATAACGAAAATATAATTCAAGAATAATAAGGTCCTAATAATAAAGTGGGGAACAGTTAAGAGCTTGGCCGGTTATGTAAAACCCTGCATTTTAAAACATGGTTAAGCGTTTTTTACTTAGTTAAGTTACATTTATTAACAAACTCATCACATAAATAACAATACTTCTTATGTGTTCAAAGCATTCAGTTTAGTAAATGGTGAAGTTATATAATATGCCTTATATTTGAAAGAAGTGCTCCCATGAAATTTTGATGCGTGAGACCAAAGCACTATTGCCGACATGACATGTATATTGATCTAGGAATAGGTACTTCTCTTATCGTCATGCCTTTTTAATTTCCAGGTGCGCAGTTTGGTAAGATCCAAATGCAAATTTTTCTCGTAAAATTTTTAGCTTGTTATAAAGTGGAACCAGCTGTTGATGCCAAGAAGTTTACATACGATCCAATGAAAGTAACTCTGTCAACAAAGGACGGTGTATATCTCAATATTATAAGACGAAATGCGCGTATTACAAATACAAATGAATAACAAAAAATCTGAGAGCTATTTTGTTATTTCCGAGTTGATCATTTTTTTATCACGTTGATCGTTTCTTTGCGGGAAATAGATTTTTTTTTATCGTAACTAAAGATTGTAAGATCACATGGTGTATTAACTACGTTAAAATGAATGTATATGATATTTTAGTGGTATTTATGATATTATGATATTTATGTGGTTTTTACAGTTGTTAGTTTTGCAAATTAGATTAAATTGTCCTTGATAAGAACAATGTTAAAATAGTAATTCCGATGGCTAGATATGCTATGAAAACATATAACTTAAATCTTTTTCTGAAAACCTACATCAAATTATGATAATCAGACACTATTTTAAATTTGATACCATTTTCTCTCACGCATTTGTGGGGCCGTTGGGGCAGTAGAGGCTTCGAGTGACGATTCGGATAAACCAAATCATGATCTTCATCAGCTTAATAATATAACCACTGCTGGGATTCAGGCCTTTTTCTAGTTGGCATCGAGTCAAGTCGAAAAGAGAGAATGGACAATGACACACCACGCGGGCTCAATGCGATTGGTCGGTTTTGACGACTGCAGATGTAGCCGGGACTAACACCTCAACATACCTGCTGAGGCACGAGGAAAGTCGAGATAATAAATTTTTGGTAACCCATCCTATGACTCCTCTTCCTCTATTTGAAATCCATAAATATTCTCCAAGTGATTGATGTCTTGGGATAGAAATCGATTTTCCAGGGGCCAACGTGAATGAAAACTGATTTTGCGGTTACGACGAAGTCTAACATCAACTCTTTTTTAATTGTCATTTTTTTTTCTTAGTAATAAAAATTCTAATTAACTTTTAAAATATATTACGTGTACCAACTTGTTATAAAAGTGACAAATATTTAAGTTGCAATGTCTGTGTATTTTTATTTAATTTACGTAATACGTAATTATATACACTAATACCTGAATGTACCCCAAAGTTTTAAATTGTATATATTTTGTTCCAATAAGAAAAAACTAGAAATAGAATTTTTAAAGTTATTTGGCTACTGGGATCTGAGGTTATTATTTTATTTAGATTTTTTACATATGATATAATATTTTGTAGACAAAATAGTTTACGAAATCCAGATTCGTTATAATTTTAAGTTAATTGACAACTAATGTTGATGTCAACCTTTTTTGATAACATTTTTAGTATATATTTTTAAATGAGGAAATTAAGAAAGTGAATACAAATGAACTATAGTTTTAGAGTATTATTTTTTTTACAAGAAAAAAAGAGAAAATTCTCTGTCGCTCCCGCATGTTTATTATTTTATTTTTTTTTATTTAATTCTTTATGCACAATCGTACAAAGGCGGACTTAATGCCTTAGGCATTCTCTGCCAGTCAACCTTTAGGTGATGTGGAGATTAAAATAAAGGATAAAAGTAGGTGCATATGTAATCTTTGAGAGAAAAAAAAAATAATATAAAATAAGCATAACACAAACATACATACTATATATAACATAATACATATATAATATAATAAAAATAAATACAATACATACTTATAAATACTATGCCTTTTAGAAATGAGATAGCAATTTTTATGATTCTGCCTGATCTAATATTAAATTGCGCAACTTGGTTTTAAAAGCAAACCGACTGGCGGACATTCTGATGTCTGTGGGGAGTGCATTCCATAGGATAATGGCTTTAACGAAAAAGGAAGAGTGGATGATTTCAGAGTGATGAGCAGGACACATAAGTAGTCTATTAGAAGAAGATCGAAGGTCTTTTGTATGACTCGTACATAAGTACTGAAAGTGTGGAGTGAGGTAGCTTGGAGCGTTAGGTGATTGCAACAAAGAAAACAAGAACGCATGTTAACGTTTTTACACCACCAACGTTCTTCACTAGCATATCCAACATCTACCTAAACTAAATATTGGTTTCTAGAAGAACTAGGTAAACTATTCCAGGAGGAGATACAGGAGGTTTCAGAAATAAATAAATGGATATTTATTTTATTGATATTTGCGGTTATAAATTAATACATGTGACCACGATAAAACTGCGCAAATCAGAGAAATCGTTTGAAAAGGTAGCCAAAGCGCGAAATCAGTTTCGATTTTTTGAAGCAGATGCCTTATATGAACCAAGAATTTCATGTTTCTAACGAATTCATATTTGTAAAGCAACTGTTAATAAAATGGATCTAGTAATATTGTAGCAAATACTTAACAGATGGGCAGGACATACAGACAGAACGAAAAAGACTGCCAACACGATATATTATAATAAATATTTCGTGTTGGCTAATATTGTAGGTAACTCGGATCAAATGATGACATTGTTAATAAAAAATAATATTATTTAAATAAAAAAAAAATAATAACCTATTTATTCAATCGGTAATACATTTACAGTCATTTAATAACATCTCTTTACAGTTGCAGCTGTAGAAACTCATTTGAAAAGAGTAGATAGAGTTTTATTTTTGATTTTGTTCTTTGTTTTTTCCTGTCTGTCAAATAAATAATTTCTTCTGAATGCCACACACCGAGACAAGGCTATGATGTAACATCGGTACAACCGAATGCCGCTTGCTTACCCGCTTAAAACTTGGTGACACATGCAAACCCAAAGATGGAAGGACATAAAATGATGAAACAGATCGAGTGTATATTCTGCCAGAAAAATCATGCATCGGCTGAGTGTGTAGAATTATTTAAATTAACGCTCGATGGCAAAAGAGAATTGCTTAAAGAGAAGCAGGCATGTTTTATCTGTTTCAGAGTTGGACACGGAACAAAGACTTTATTTAACAAATTCAATCTTAGATTTTTGGAAACTCTAGTAACAGGTCAACATGGGCTATGTTGACGCGTATAGTTACCCTTAAAAATTCTCGACTTCACTCAAAAGTTCGGGATTGTATGATATTATGATGCCATTATCCGTTTCCAGCTTCGTAATTGTATTTTGAAATTTGTAATTATAGTTTAAATAGGTAATTTGAGAAATTACCCTGGCAATGTGTTTTCGATGGTTTGAATGAGGTTAAGCAAAACAACAGATTGTAGTAGGTACAATACTTAATAATTATTTTTATTTACCTATTTGCTGTAGTTAACGATTCCTTAATTTAGAGTAGAGTATCAGCATTCATAAAGTAATATGCACTCTCTTTACACATCATCACACACCTCAGATTCAGAAAAGTATCAAATTTTGTATAAAAAAGATATATTTATATGCGATATATTTACGAAGTGTGATTAAAGATTTATAAATCGGTCTAATAGTTTACCCAATAGGTCTAAACAAGCAATTAAATATTTTATCTTTATAATGTTAGTATTTATTATTGGAAAAAATATGATTGTCGAGCACATAAACAAAATCTCTTGTTCTAAGACTTTCACTTTGTAAAATATTTTTATTTACACAGATAAAAAATCATATATATAAAATATCAATATCACTAAAAAGCATGAAATAAATATTAAAAAAAAAGAACCGACCTCAAACTTTAAAAAAGTGATAAGTAATACTACTTACCTCGAAATAACCTAATATAAATAGGATAATAAAAACTCGTTTTTTTCCGATTTATACGCAACATTAAATATTGTATATTAGGATACAACGTCATTTTTGTTTGCAAGCATTCTTCAAATTCTGTTTAACTAAAGTCGTTTTTAATTTATTGTTTTATGTTTATGTTTATGTTTGTATTTTTAGTATGTATTTTTAGAAATTTCATTAAGAAAAGGCGTAGATTCATCCGCGCTTAGTTTTCAGCTGCAAAATTATTTATATGATGAATCCCCCTTATGTCTCCCCTGCTATACATATCCCACAAATACTGTGACAATATAACTTACAGTTAGGTCATTATAAAAAGCCACATTTGACATCTATTAATTTTAAATTAATACTAGAATAGAATAGAATATAACTATAAAAACAAATAAACAAAAAATTAATAGAAAAAAAGAAACAAAAGTTAAGAAAAATAAAAAAAAACAACCAACAGAAAGTGCAAAGTGGAAGAAAACATTACGATTCATTCACAAAAAGTAGTGGTTATAACATTGACACAATAAATAAAAATAAACTTGCCATTCCAAGTTTCAGACTTCAAAAAACCAGAGGATGTCTGCGTAAATGCATTATTATGTTCAATGAAGTTCCACTAAATGTAATTGACCTACCCGTAAATAAATCTAAAATTCGTGCAAAGAACATACGTAAAGGCTAAAATAAAAATAAATTAAAAGAAAAACGACGCAAAAAAAACAACAGAAAGTGCAAAATGGAACGAAACATTACAATTAATTCACATAAAAAGTAGTGTTTTTAATCTTAAGACATTTATAATACACTAGTGGACGCCCGCGACTTCGTCCGCGTGGAAGTCGGTATCCCGTGGGAGTGAGAAGTTTTCCCAGTAAAAAGTACCCTATGTGTTATTCTGATGTATAACCTATATTGCTGTAAAGTTTTATCCAAATCCGTCCAGTAGTTTTTTCGTGAAAGAGTAACAAACATCCATACATCCATACTTACAAACTTTCGCCTTTATAATATTAATAGGATAATAAACAGTCACTTAACCTCAGGTCCCTCAGTAATGACATTATAAATTAAAAGATAACATTATGAGATCATTGTTGTTTAATATAAAAATAATTCTGGCTATTTAGTCATCTTAGTAATAAATTATCTGTCATTAAAAACAGCCATGGCTTTGGTGTTAATATTTATTATTCTTATTGTTCTCATTGTGATTTTATTATATTGTTTACTAAAAAGAAACCAACAGTATTGGCAGAAATTAGGTATTGTTGGACCAAAACCAAATATTTTGTTTGGTAACTATAAAGATGTTATCTTGAGGCGCATCACATCATTCGAACTACAAGAAGATCTTTATAATACTTATCCAAAAGAGAAAGTTGTCGGTTTATACCGCTTTAATACACCCATCCTTCTTCTGAGGGACTTAGATATAATCCAGCATGTGTTCATAAGTAATTTTGATAGTTTTGTCAACCGCGGTATGGAGTTTGGTGACAAATTCGCCACCAATTTAGCAAGCAGCAATGATGAAACGTGGAGGATTCTTCGCGCACAATTTTCACCATTATTCACTTCTGGTAAATTGAAAAACATGCTGTATCTAGTGGAAAGATGCGGAAACAAAATGCTTGAACAACTTAATACTGAAATATCATTATCAGAGACTTGCAATGTTCAAAAAATAACTTATAAGTTCACTATGCAAGCTATCAGCTCCTGTGCATTCGGTATAGACATGGATGAACCTGATAAACGATTAACAAGAATCTGCAAATTGATTTTCAGAAATTACTATGCTTTAGAATTGTTTTACATATGCTGTAATTTAATGAAAAAACTACGCTTAAATACTATGCCCCGTGAAGTTACAAACTATTTTAGTGCCCTGGTCAATTCTATCAAGGAGCAGCGCAGTGGTGTACCATCCCAAAGAAAAGATTTTATGGACTTACTTCTGCATATGAAAAACTTAAGTGAACTCAAAATTGGACAAAGACATAAAAGCAATGATGGTGAATTGAAAGTGTTACCGATTAGTGACGATTTGATTGCGGCCCAAGCGATGATATTCTTTTCCGCTGGATTTGAAACCTCTGCAAATACTCTCTCTTATCTACTTTATGAAATTGCAAAGCATCAAGATATACAAGAAAAATTATTTGAAGAGATAAAGCAGACTCTGGATAATAATATAGGGGAACTGAGTTTCGATACCCTGAAGCAGATGTCATATATGAATCAAGTATTTTATGAAACTCTTCGGATGTATTCTTTAATTGATCTCCAACGAAAAGTTTCTGCGCCGTCTTGTAAAATTCCTGGTGTGGATGTCACTTTAAAGAGAGATGATTATTTATTTGTATCCGTACGGGGTATACATTATGATGAAAAATATTATCCCGAACCACACAAATTCGACCCTGACAGGTTTTTACCTGACAATATAAAATCAAGGCATCCTTGCGCTTATATGCCCTTTGGTGTTGGTCCTCGGCAATGTATTGGTAAATAGCATTTGTTAGTTATTCTTCATATCCTTCAACTATTTTAAGTCCTTCTAAGTTTTGTTTATATTAGTTAAAAATAAATGTACATATGTGATTATTTCTCCAACTACCACTGCCTGTTTTAATCATTATTAATGAAAATGCTATGGATCACATTATGTATATTGGTATAGAAATACGTCACTTTCTTTTTGTTTCCAGGTTGGCTGTTTGGTAAGATTCAAACGCAAATCTTTCTCGTAAAATTTTTGGCTCGGTATAAAGTAGAACTAGCTGTTGACGCCAAGAAGTTTACATACGATCCAATGAAAATATCACTGTCACCAAAAGACGGTGTATACCTCAAGATCATCCGACGAAATGTGTGATTTGAGTATAACTAGAAGAACAAAAGTGCTATGGGACAGAAAAATATAGTTTTATTTTAACCAAAGTTTGGTAATTCACAATAACCAAATATTTGATATTTTTAACATGTTGTAATTACTTAGCTATTCGTAGTCCAACTTAAAATAAATTGCCTGCGTAGGACACGGCCTTAATGGATTATTGCTTGCATCATTATCTCATCATCTCATTTCGTACAAACACTCACATTGTGCGATAAATATTCGAACGATTTTAAGCAAAGTTTACTTTGCGCTGACAGAAATTATCTTTCCATTTTAAATAATCGCAACGCAAATGTATAACAATATATTGCGCTCATTAAAATGAAAAAGCACTGACGTGTTTTTAAACGTTTCCCCTCTAAAGCAGCACACAAAAATAACTTTCACCACAATCGAAGTACAACATCCGTCTGACTACGAATATTATGAAAATTTGCAACAGCAAAGGTAACACAAAATCCAGCTCCTAAGCAATATATAAAAGTTCATATTCTACATTGACCCGACTAAGAATTGAGTCTGGGACATAAGATGGCGCCGCTGACCTTGACCACAGAGGTCGTCACTAATAAATTTCTATAGAATTTTTAAGCTAAAACCTATCAGTAGTCAGCGATATTTTATAAGAAGTTTTAAATTTATCATAGAATATCAATTTAAATAATATTATTTTAAGATTGAAACATCTAGCTCGTGTATTTTGAAGTCTTCTTATAGTAATTATTTATGAATAAATTTATTAATTTTTGGACAGATTAAAGAAGCAAAAGATATCATTTTATTATCATAAAATTCCTTAAGCCTGATGTCCGGCGGGGCATGGGTGATCGGCAGTTTATACCGTTGACATTGCTAGATTTTTATAATGCTTTCAATTCTGTCGATTTTGATATTCTGCTCTCTATCATGGTTTCTCTTAACATATCTCAGTCTGGCTGCGATTGGTTGGTTTCGAAATTATTTGTTAGGGCGTCGGCAACGTATCCATATTGATGACACCGTTTCTGCATAGTGCAATATCACTGCCGGTGTTCCTCAGGATGGCTTTCTTATCGTTTTCTTACTTCTCTTTTCTGTTTTCATAAACTCCATCACACACATGCTTTCGTGTTCTTATCACCTTTACGCCGATGATCAGCCTTAACTCTCAGATAGGTATCTGTTATAAACTCGAATCTATCAATCATAAGAAGATGGAGTTCTAATGGTTTAACCGTTAACCCTTCTAAATCTCAAGCCACTATAAAAGTCCTTATTTTGTTTCTAGGATCGCTTTTCACCAACTTCCCGTTGTAACACTCGACGGTACTATTATTCCATGTGCCGAAACTGTTAAAAACCTTGGCGTTTTGTTTAATCAGAATTTATCGTGGAAACCCCAAGTGGAGGCTGTAAGGAGAAAATTGTTTACGGCTTATGGCTCGCTGAATCGCTTATGTAATTTTTCGTCATCTAGGACAAAAATCAATATAGTTCAAACTCTTTTGTTGTTGTTCATTATCGATTACACTGACGTTTGTTATACTGATCTATCCGAAGAACTCCTCGGTAAGATATAGCGTCTGCTGAATGCCTGCATTAGATTTATTTTAACGTGTCTTGTTACCGTTCCAAACTCAATTGGCTCTCGATTCGTCGGTGCAGGAACTCGTATACTCTAAGGGTTCTTTACTCTATAGTTTATCTCCCCACCTTATCTCAAGCAATTTTACATTGTGATCCTCATCTAATCTTACCATCAAGTTTCCTCACGACACGACTGATTTCTTTTCTTACTCCTTTTCTGTCACTGGGTTTTGTAAACAAACTTGTTGCTATTGGTTTCTTACATTTTCATCTTTCTTTCTTTTTTCACTTTTTGTCATACTCAAATAGTTGTAACAAGATAATACTTACATCAATGTTTAAATATTTCATAATATAGCAGAATCAAAATCGAGATTTGCAGTAAATAATTTACTTTACTAATGGTAAATTAAAATACTAATATGACTGCAACACTTGGATGGGTCGATAGTCTATTTGGCACCTCTGGAGGGACATAAGCACGGCCCAGGTCTCGATGGAGTCAAAGGCTTTCTCATAGTCCACAAACGCCAAGCACAGTGGCAGATTATACTCCTCGGTCTTCTGTATAACCTGTCGCAGCGTATGAATGTGGTCTATGGTACTGTAACAAATCTACGTGCGAGACCATTCGTGATGACTCTCGAAAACAGCTTGTACACATGACTCAGAAGTGTGATGGGTCTGTAATTCTTCAATTGGGCCCTGCCGCCCTTTTTGGAGAAAAGCACCACCACGCACCAGTGCCATGCTTCTGGCATCTTGCCCTCGAGTATGGTGGAGTTAAATAGCTTCTGAAGCGCTTTCCGGACTGGTAGTCCACCCGCTTTCAGAAGCTCCGCTGTGACTCCGTCATCCCCCGGTGCCTTGTTGTTCTTGAGCTGTTTGAGATCCATACTAATCTCGTATACACTGACGTCTGGGATTTCTTCGGTATAATGTTGGGTTTTGGCTCTAGGATCTGTAGCCTCAATGACAGGTTTCTATGATGCTGCGTATAATTGTCCATAGAAACATTCGATCTCCGCCACAAGTTCAGGACGGGATGTAAGGACTTTGCCGTTCACTGTCTTTAGCTTCATCAGCAAGCTCTGACCGAGAGACAGATCTCTAGCGAAAACTTTGGAGCCTTTATTCCGTTCAATCGCCTCCTTAATACATTGGGTATTAAATTGGCGTATGTCGCGTGTGAGAGACTTCGAGATCTGTCTATTGAGTTGCCGACGAGCATCTTCAGAAGACTGCAGAACTATTCCACGCATTTCTTCCATTAGCTTGCTTGTCTGTTCCGAGATCTTGCTTCTTTTTTGAGAACGGCGAGGTTTGAGAAATTTGGCCCCACCGTAAGTACAGCTTCTACGACCCTGTCATTGTATTCGTCCACATCCAAGCAGCTCTCCAGGCAATCGAAGCGGTTTTGAAGTTCGAGCTGAAAGTTTTCGGGGTCCCAGATCTCGATGGCTTTAGGACGGAGCGTAGACTTCACCAGTCGATACCGTTCGGCTATTACGTTTAGATTCAATGCGCCTCTTACCATACGGTGACCGCTTCCCGTATTAAACGAATTGATCACTGAGACGTCACAATATCCGAGTCTTAGTCGACATGACGAAACCAATCTCGCTTTTTTGTAAAAAAAAAATATCATTATTCTGTAATTTAAGAGCTGCGAATAATCAGCACCGGCCGCAAAGCACGTGCGACATTATGAATGACTTAAATACAGAGTAAGGATATGGGTTTATAATTTTGATATTAAGGAAGTATATACGATATTATCTAAATAAAATGGTATCCTAATTAAGCATAACATGCCTACTATATATATACTAAAAAACTGGGACCTTTGTTTATAAAATTAAATCCTTGAATGAGCATATTTCCAATAAACTCAGGAAACATACTACAAAAAACCAAATTAGATATATTTTTAAACAGTCTTCATTGTTAATTTAAGGACATAGATCGTCAATGAAACAAATGTTTTGCAATTATTTGAAATCTCTGCTGATGTCTATAACACTTAGAGAGGTCAGAATTAGGTAGAGTCATTTATGTACTTGCATCGAAATGTTGATATTAATGTGGACCTTCGTGGCAACATCGCGTGTATTGGTATTTTGCAACTTTGGACATCTGATGTCATTGATGTAAGTTTGGCAACGTCGTGCGTGCAGTAGTTTAAATTGTGTAAAAGTAAATAACTTTTTATTTAAAAAATCACGGGATTTTTTCTGCTCTTTAAAATTAATCTCGGGATTTGAGGCATATCCACTTTATTCTTTCGCTGTATGAAATCAGTGTAAGAACATGAATAACTCTACCTAATTCCGACCACTGGTTATTACACATTAGAAGAATATTATAAAGGACAAATGATACTAATTGCTTTTATTAATTTATTTAAATCTGTATTATTTATAACATTACTTATACTCAATTCTTTAAAATTTTTTGCTGTAACATTACATGATGGATGTTACGAAATTGTGAGATTGCTGATAAAAAAATTATAATAACATTATCCTCTAGGGTAGGCATTAGACACACTTAATAAGCCGGAGTGGGTGACATGATGAAAATTCAAGTAAGAATCACTAATAAACTTTGATAAATTTACTACCTATTATAAACAAAATGAGTCTAGGAGCTTTGCTGGAGTGGGGATTGCAATTTCCAAACTAAAGTGCTCCTAGGTTGCAACCCTGTCAGCAATAGAATAATTATATTGAAGCTTCATGTATCGCTTGCCTTATTAAATATTATGTTGATGTTGGATCTTTTGCAGTGATGGTGCGACTATCACTGCAAAAGATTCAAAATGTTGAAAGATTCTTCTACAAGGATATCAATAGCAACTATACTGTACTTACCATATTGTCACATGAATGGATGAGGACATACGGAGTTGTTGTTGGTACCTAACTGTAGTCGTGGTTGGTAAATATTATTACCGAGCGCCGCTGATATGTTGTGATGTTAAATACAGGAATGAGATTGACTATTTACTCCTAAAATTTCAATGGTGAAGGTCAATTACCTAGTTTGGGAATCTAAAAAGACCGAACAAAAGAGAAAATAGATAAACATAGAATATAAAATATCGAATAGTAAATATTAATTTTCAGAGTACCACTCCAGTTTACCAAGCATAATCTTTTAAAAAACATTCATAATGTAGATAAAAACGATATATTTTATAATTATTTGACCTTAACTTGCATGAAAGATAAACTATAAATATAAAATAACATTATAATTGTTGTTCGTGTTAAAATAAATTTTCGAGATATTCAAGAGAAATTGTTTGAAGAGATAACAAACTCTAGATAATAATAAAGAGGGACTGAGTTTCGATAACCCAAAGTAGATGTCATATATGTGTCGTGGCCATATCGTAGATTTGCTCA